AAGACAGACTGTGTACAATCTGTCTTATAAAATTATTTAAATGTTCATACAAAAATAATATAAAAATAGAATTAAGGGTATTTAAATAATTTTACAGGGTGGACTGAAAGCAGTCTGCTCTGTAAAACAATTTTTTGAAAAACACATTTAGCAAAATAAGAATAAAAACTATTTTTACTATGAATATAAATTTAAGGACCAAAAAATTAAAAGAAACATAGTTAGAGTACTAAGGTTTAAGAAGATTTTCGTTAGGATTTTTGTTAACTTTAACTGCCTAGATGAAATTGAAATAAATATGAAAGATAATAGACAGAATTGAAACAATTCAAAGATAATAGATGAAATTAAAATTAAACTGAAAGTTAGTAGATGATTTTTTGAATTAAGCCGTTTTTTACGCTATACAAATGTATTTAACTCATATTATATTTTTTGAACAGAATGGTGTAACCATGGGTGTCAGTTGGTAGGGTAAATACATCATTATCCTTAAAACAAATAACTCTTATTTAACATCCCGTTAACTAACTATTAGTATTTCGTTATAAAAAATATAAAATTTAAATTTAATTTTATTTGTTAGTTTTGTTAACGAAATGCTAAGAATCAATTAATAGAGTTAACAGTTAATTAATAGAGTTAAAAATCAACTAATAAAACTGATAATCAGTTAACAAAATTAACAGTTAACCAACAGAATTAACAAAATATTTGATAGAATACTCAAATCCACTCTCAAAGTATAGTGGTAGAGACGGATCTACTCCCAAACAAAAAAATGGAGATAAATCCACCTATAAAATTTTCAACTTAGACAAATCACCTCAAATTTAACGTGTAACATCATCTAATATCAACAATCCATGATTTGATGTCAAATGTCAACAATCCGTTATTAGTGACATAACGAATTAATGGATTGCCGATATTAAATGACATTACATATTAAATTTGGGATAATTTATCCAAGTCAAAAATTGCGTAAGTGGATTTATCCTTATTTTTTGTTCAAAAGTAGATCTGTCCCTATCACTATACTTTAAGGGTGGATTTAGGTATTTTACCAAAATGTCATAAGGTTATTTTCTCTCATTTGTATAAATGAGGGGTTAAAGGTGTTATAATATAAGATGAGGGACTAAAACCTATAAACTTATTAAGGTAAAGGGTTTAAAGTAGGTTTTTGCCGTCATAAAAAGGAAAAAAACCAACTATAGTTTCCAGCCGACCGATGATACCGGCACCTGAGTAAAGCCAATCTCAGATTTCTCTTTACTCAAGCAAACTCAAAATCCGCCATGGAAGCACAAGAAGGAACTCAGCAAACGCAATTTATACTAGCCCACAACGTCTTTCTTCTCAAGCACCCAGATGTTCAAGACATCGAGAAGGTCAGCCTCAAGGAGGAGGTCATCGCAGCCGTTAAAAACAATGGTAACGCGCTGAATTCACGCTGTTTTACTCTAAGCCAGTGTTTCTTGATGTTAATCTAACAGTGTATTGCTTTCTTTTGTTGTGATTTGTTAGATATGGCTCCGTTTTTTGAAACCCTAGTGGCTGATAAGGTGGTGGAGTTGGATCAGAGCGTCTTGGAGTCAATGCGTGTCAAGATTGAGGAAGAAGTTAAGAAGCTCGATGAGAAGTGAGTTTTTTAGGTTTCTTTTTTCCCTTATTTGAGGCTTGCCAAATGCGTTAGAGATTTAGATTCTTGTTGATGTTTTGATTCCGAATGCGTTTGAATTTGAACACGGATGAGCTAGTTGGGAGTTTGAATTGAACACGGGAGAGATTTAGGAAAACTTTTTGGTCTCAACTCATTTGGGTAGAAATTTTTAGCTGTTATTTATGGTTTGATTTGATGAGAACACATTTCTAAACCTAGTCTTAATGCATCTATTGGACATGATTTGGAGGGGTGTATAGAGGACTTTTGACACTTGGTGAGAGGTGAGAAGTGTTTAGCCACTTGGTGAGAGGTGAGAAGTGTTTAGCCCTATGGCTGTGTGGAATTTATTGTCTGTCTGCCTGGGTGAGAATTTAAGAGTACACCTTTAAGTTGTGGAATTTCTTTACCAACCAGGGTATGCCCTACTGGAGTTGTTATCCCTAAAAGGATGGTGATTAGAACGTAATGATGGTTTGCATGAAATTCTTTCTGTTTCTTTCATTTTAATTTTGTTATGTTTTCATGTCGGGAATGCAATTTGATAGTAATGTTGTCAAAAGAGTAATTATTACTTATATGAATAAAGGACAGTTAAGAAATTGGTTGTTTTCAATCTTTTAAACTGTTATAATTCATCTGTTTGGATGGCCAAGAAAAAAAAAATAACTGCCATAATTCACATCTTTGTTTACATAGAGATATAGTTGACATAGCAATTAGTACAGTTACATTGTAGCATTTTTTTGTAATGCATTTGTTTCTCCCTACTCCTCAATTGACATTTGTGAGTTGGAAGGGAAGTATGAACTATCACTTTCTTTCTCTCTCTACCATTTCGTCTTCCTAATCCTCATTTTTATGGTATGATGACATTGTTGACTTGGGATTTGGCATTATACCTCCTTGGATAAGGCTTATTGACCAGGATGAGGTGTACAAATGGATGTTTTGATAGATATCATGATCTTGAACTGATGATGCAGTAAATTAGATGGGGTTCCTTTTCTGTATGGAAGATTACTGTAGTTCATGGACCTAAGTTGTATATTTTCAAACTCATGACTGGATGATTGCATTTGAGTTGACCACCTAGCATTGAGGACATTTTTTATTCCTACCATTTAACACACACACGAACAGACAATGGAGGGTAAGGAACTAGACATTTTAAGCTATCTAAGCTATCTTTTAGAAGTTAAGCAATGCATTCTCCAAAGATATTGCTTAGAACCAAAGTCAAAGATTTGGCTACATGGTTATGTTTTCTTATCAATTTTCCATAGTTTAGTGCTTAGGAACATTTGTTGCTAATACTCCTCTTTCCTAAAAATTATATTTTTGGGCCATGATATTAATCTAGTTTGTAGCATGCATATTGTTTTTCTTGGTTTTCCCTTTATTCTTAAGAAAATCTTTTGAATAAGAAACTGCAGACGATATTACCAACTTTCCATCTTTTGCACTGTTTTTCAATAATTTTCTTTCTGGATCAGCCTATTATTGCTTAATAAAAAATAAACGTTTGTCCCTTCCTCATTGAATTAAGAGACGGATGATGAATGTGGAGATGGTTTTTCATTTTTCTGTACAGAATTAGAAAACCTTGAGATAATTTTAGAATGAATGATCTGAATGACTTGGCTAAGGCTATGTCTTGTTTCTTATTTTGTATTTCATATTTTAATTCTAATTAAGGGCTGTACCTCATGCTTGTCTTATATTCTTAATGGATGCTGGTGATATGATCTGTGGATGAGTAGTAGGTGTCTTCTGAATATGCCTAACATGTCTCTGCTTACCACTGTTCTTTAGGATTGCTGATGCTGAAGAGAACTTAGGTGAAAGTGAAGTTCGAGAAGCTCATTTAGCTAAATCACTACTTTACATTCGGATAGGTGCTAAGGTAGAAAGGATTATAGTTTACTGCCCTTGTTACTCCTGCTTGAACAACTATCTACATTTCAGCAGTATCTCTTTCACATCTGACTTGTTTTGTGAATCTAGGAGAAAGCATTAGAACAACTAAAGCTCACAGAAAGCAAGACAGTTGCAGTTGGACAAAAGATGGATTTAGTTTTCTACACATTGCAGATTGGCTTTTTCTACATGGATTTTGATCTTATCTCCAAGAGTATTGATAAAGCAAAGAAGTAAGTGAAAAGGCAAATTTGTCTACTAGAATTCTTTGTTCTACCTTTAGCAAAACATGGGTTATAACTCCTGTATTATCCTCACTTGCTCTATGATACCAGCTTGTTTGAAGAGGGAGGTGACTGGGAAAGAAAGAACCGTTTGAAAGTGTATGAAGGCCTGTACTGCATGTCCACTCGAAATTTTAAGAAGGCTGCCAATTTGTTTTTGGATTCAATTTCAACCTTCACAACTTATGAACTCTTTCCTTATGGCACCTTCATATTTTACACTGTCCTTACAAGCATTATATCCTTGGATAGAGTTTCCCTGAAGCAAAAGGTACTTTTTGGTGTTGCCTATCCCGTTGTGCTATGACCTGTACTATTATATTATAAGTATTTTTCTCGGTCTTTGGGGATTACTAACTTGACTAAATCTTCTAGGTTGTTGATGCTCCTGAGATTTTGACGGTGATTGGGAAAATCCCACACCTATCAGGGTTTCTGAACTCTCTATATGATTGTCAGTATAAATCCTTCTTCTCAGCATTTGGTATGTACAGATATCTGATAATGTTATGACTTTGTTTAGAAATTTCGGTCCTTTCAAATATTTATGTTTTGTTTGTACTAGAACTGCTGCATATTTCTGTTATTTCTTTACTGGTTTACCCTTTCATAAATTTGCATTTTGTTTGGATTTTTGTGTCAGCTGGCCTGACTGAGCAAATAAAATTGGACCGCTATTTGCATCCACACTTTCGGTTTTACATGAGGGAAGTCAGAACTGTTGTCTATTCTCAGTTTTTGGAATCGTACAAGAGTGTTACCATCGAGGCAATGGCAAAGGCTTTTGGAGTCACAGTGGATTTCATTGACTCGTAAGTGATTAAATACTATGGATCCATATCTTTTTCTTTTTGTCATTACTGGTAATGTTCCTCTGTCAATCATTTTGTATTTGGTCTATGTTTCTATACACCATCCATCACCTACATGCATGAACCTCTATTTTCCATATGCTTCCCAGGGAACTATCGCGTTTCATTGCAGCAGGAAAGCTTCATTGCAAGATTGACAAAGTTGCTGGCGTTCTTGAAACCAACCGTCCTGATGCCAAGAATGCTCTCTACCAAGCAACTATCAAGCAAGGAGACTTCTTACTAAACCGAATCCAGAAGTTGTCACGTGTCATCGACCTATGAAATTCTTAGGGGTTCTGTGCCGTGTCAGGAATGGCGCTATTATTGAGCAGTTTATGAGAAATCTTGAGCCCAGAGCATTGATGGTACAAACATTTCAGCCCATGATTGCACACTAATTTTTCCTTTACCGTTAATAATGTTTATTACAGTTATATTTTAGCCATTGAATGATATAGTCCCATCTGAGTGGCAAGAAACTATCTAGAGCTTTTATTGTTATTATTATTATTATTGTTATTATTATGATAATGCTCCTTTTTGAGTGGTGCTTTCAGTTGGAATTTTTTTTTTATTTTTTAAACAAATTTATAAGGAATTGGATTTGAACTAGTACCCAGGGGAGGAGATGCACTTTAAAACGTGGCTTGACGCCATTGGACTCAAAAGGTGCAAGTGCGTTTTCGGTTGGAATTTAGTTGATGGTTAATCCTTCTTACGCATCATTTTCATATGCCAAAAAACAAAATTATTTTATTTCTAATGTGAGTTCTGTTGACTGGGGCATGTAAATGACACTGTAGCAAAGTAGTCAATACCATACTGGTATGCATACCGGTTTTGTTACTGGAACAGTACGTACCAGATATTGAAATTTTTCGTGTATTGTTTTGGATTTATCACTATAAATATATATTTTTATAAATTAAATATCAAATTTTAAAATAA